CTATTTATGGCTCTCGTCTGTGACACTGTCTACTGAAGTGGCCCAGCTTTCCACAGTGGAAGCAATTCTGACCTTCTTTATTACCTTTGGGTGGCACTGTATATGAGTAAGACTTCCTTTTCCTGACACAGGCCCTAAACTGGCAGCAATAGCTGCCCCAATAATTTTGGTCATTCTCTGGCCTTTTCTCTTCCTCTAGATCCCAGTTGTTAAAAGAGGGAAAAAATTAAACAAATGTATAACAAATAATTTTGAGCATTATAATCTTTTAAGCTTAAGGCTAGAAATATTAACAATATGATAGTTTCCAATCCAGAGATCCATGTTCCAATGCAGTTCCTATTTTCCATAAATGGCTTTGGTAAGAGGAATATTGTAAATGTGGATACATTTCCACTATTCCTCCTCCATGCCATGATATAGTGTTATTAGCATGAGCTGTTGTAAATCCATTGCCATCCTTACTCTAACTTATTTTGTTTTATTTAAATTTGTCATTAATTTCAGTGAAAATTTACAGAGGCTTTGGATTTCCATTCATTCATTGTTGCATGTTTGTCTCCTCCCAAGGCTCACCCTCAGAACACTACCCTCTTGGAAAAGTAAAAGAAAAATTCTTTCATTGTTTTACAAACCCTCCCCCAGGTCCACTCCACCAGGAAATTACATTCTTTGGAGCCAAGTTTGTATTTCTTTTCTGGCTGTGGAACTTTAGGTAAGTAATCAAGCCTTTTTAAAGATTAAGTTTTGGTGGTTTGTATTTTTTTTTGGTGGTTTGTATTTTTTAATGAATAATAATTTTTTGTTCAAATTGTGATTTTAATGAAAGTTTACATAAAAGTTGGATTTTCATTCATTTCATTGTTGCACATCTTCCTCCCTTTCCCTGCTTTCTCCCTCCCCCAGTTCACCACTGTTATCAAGCAGGACTGACATGGGGAGTTGAGAGGAGAATAGAAAAGAGTGGATAGATAATGAACACTGCATTGAAATAGATGAAGGAAAGTACTATTTTAAAATGAATATATGATTAGGCATTATATATAAGACAATGGTCCAGAATAAGAGGTACATTGCAAAGAGGACTGGGGGAGGGGTATAGGAGGAGTGAGGAAATTGTGCAACAATAGATATTTTTTAATTAATTAATTAGTTAATTTTTAAAAATAATTTTAATGAGCATTTACAGAAATTGTGGATTTCCATTTCATT